CAAAAAAAATATTTTTGTTAAAGAAAAATATTTAGTAAAACATTTTAACCGGTGAAAAATATTACTTATGATTTCCTCCGTACCATACGTCCCCAAATTAATGAAGAAAAACTCATCCAGATTAAATAAATATTAAAAACATGCATTACTCATTCTTATTTTAGGATCACAAAGAGTACTACTCTCTACTCCTAATAGTAAGGAGCGCTTACTCCGAGCTTTAAACTATTAAAATTTAAATTAATCGAGTGATTAAATTTTAGTCGAAAAATTTGAAGGCTAAGCCCTTTAATTTTCACATGAAAAAAGGGGTTGAGTCAGTCATAAAACTAGAATTTTGAGTAGCTCCAACAAATTCCATTATGTGTATTTAGAAGCCTAGGCACAGATTTACGTGAACTCAATAAAGAAAATCGTATTTTCATTAATTGTGGAACACCAACAAAGCCAAATCAGCAGATTCCCAAGTGGGCTGAACGGGTCAGCCACTCCAATTTCTCATATTTATATTGTTCTTATCTTTATTTATTTTTAATCATTACTACCATAAGCATCGTATTTCTAATTTATTAAATAAATATTCCTAATCAATAAATAAATAATCCAATACAACTAAACTCAAGTTCCAGCATTAGCATATGCTTTCCGGCTCCATTTAAATAAATAAATAAAAAAGAAAGAAAGAATAGATTACATCAAGTGTGGAGAAGAGAATATAATGCACCCACTTAAGAAAGTCAAAAATGGATAATACTTCATATAAAACTACACACTTTTTTTTAATACATTAAACAGAAATGAAAAAATGGCTCAAAGTATGACATCATGATAATGCAGTGGTGAGTACTAATATATTTCGAAATATACAACACGTATATGCACTTCTTTTGTGTATATATATTTAGTATACAATATACACTATTTACATATTCTATACATATTTTGTAGATTAAATGGTTCTAAAGGCATTGAACGTTAATTTAAATCAACGCCTTTAATCACAACCATGAATTAGAGAAAAAATGACATAGCATGAGGTTTGAGATGATCAAAACGTAAAATATGTTAGTATTGAAGACTTACCACTAAATCCTTTTAATTGTGAAGATATAATGGATGACTTTGACTATTTAATTTGTCTTTTATCTTGTATAACTTTCAGTATTTTCTTCGACATATTGGTCTACCACAGTTACCGTAATGACAATGCTATGCTTTTTATATTAAAGTCTTGAAGACTTTATGCACATAAATTTACACTTGTACCAAGTCCCTTAAGCTTGTCAATTTTGTCGACACATGTTGATAAAGACCTTATTTTAAGGTTAGTTAAGACCGTTGAACTTTGTATGTTTTCAAGTAAGTATATAAAGTGACGAATCAGAAATTTCTAGAATATCGGGTGCACCACAAAAAAAAAAAAAAAAAAAAAAAAAGAGAAAATGTACGTAGTATTCTAAAAGCATGGGTGCTAACAAATAATATTTGATTAATTTAAAAAAAAAATAATATATATATATATATATAATACTAAATTTCACAGAGACACTACTGATTCTGATTCATGTAAGACAATTTTTTCCCATAAATTTACCCCTAAATAATATTTTAACAACAACATTAAACAAAAAAGGAGTAAAACAGCCGCAGTTGGGTTCATATGAGAACGTAGAAATTGAAGGTTTTGCTGGTGTCCTCTTATAAGGTGTCCCTTTTTTATGTGTGTATTATTATAATTCAATGTCTAGACTTCTTTTAGTCCTTCTAATCATTCTGAATTTGTCGATGCCAGAACCATCCATTTGAAATTTGCAACATTGTATTTGTATATCTATAAATTATTTTATTAAAATTTAAATTATTTCTACAAAATATCATTCTGCTGAACATACACACACAAACTATAGTATTATTAAGAAGGAGAAACTAAAGAAATAAAAAGTGACTTTCAACAAGTGGCTAATCCAGAGGAAAAAAAATGAAGAATGTTTTGTCGTTTGGGTCCAAACCTTTCGGACTTGCAACATGTTTGTTGGACCACAAGCCCATTAGTGGAAAGGCATATAGAAACTACATAATTAGATGTACTCTACTACTATATATATCAAGTCCGTATGTACTATTATTATCTATACTTTAAACATATTACGTATCTTAGTATTAATAAAGTGTTTTATACTATATATATATTAAGGAAGATACACCTAGATACGTGTATTTTTGCTACCATATATACTAAAATAGGGAGAAAGGCGAGCGAGATTTGTTATATATCTTGATACATATAAATCACACTATAGACACAAGAGAGTGGCAAGCGAGATGGGAGAGAGACGAGGGATGCAGACGAGATTTGTGTTTATCCCAGATACATGCGGATCCACTTGGATACAATGTATCTAGGACAAATTACACCTAATTCTGACCTCATGTATCCCGAGATACATGTATATGGACGCACTAAAATCTGGTAAGATTCGTAATATTATAACTTGAAGTTTATCTAAGTAATTAAGTTCTAAACCAGTGAGATTTATGTAAGTTTCCATAAAATAACTTGTATCACGATGAAGCTCTATTCACAAATCCAGCGCAAAATCAACACTTTTTAAGTGGAGTAAAACTAGACACACACCCATGTTGCTCAATTTATGATAGTCCATGGACAAATTTGCTCGTTCCACTTTAGAAATAATGTCTGCAATTTAAGGGACATCAAGGCATGTTAAATATAATGGTTAAGATATTTTGTAGTTGTGGGTAAAATGTTAGAAATTGAGAATTTCCATCGGTAAAGATAGGAAAACTTTAATTCGTGTGGAATTAAGGTCCTAGACATGGCGATAACAAATCTTTCTCCATCATGGGTCCTTTAGGTACAGTTGTTACCACACCTTATGAACCAATTGCTTTAAGAAAAGAGGAAATCCTCATAGTATCATTATGACTTTATCTAATGGATAATTTGTTTTTTTTTTAACCATGGATAACCCGCGGCCGCTACAACTTCTGTCACAGCCTCTACCCTTTGACTGAGCACTGGGTAAACCCGCCACTATGTAACACAAGAGACATAAACCGCACTAGGCAAGTCCTACACGACAGACTCGACTCAGAAGGCATTGCGGGGGAATCGATCCCAATTCATCCATCCGTGTGGATGACCCACCTTCCAAACTGACCAACGAAAGAACTTGTACTTCCGGATTAAGTTGTAATTGCTTTAATTCTGGAGTTAACTAGGCTTATATAAGTCTTCTAATTTGTTCTTTAAATTGTAGGTGATAAAAAATAACATAGCAAAACGTAAAACCCAACATGTAAACTAGTGGAGAAAAAAAACACATGTAAAAAGTAGTGGTTGAGGTATGGAACTTACCTGGACAGCACTTTTATTAATTTAAGAAAGAGCCCAAAATCCACCGCACCCAATTATATGAATAGCTAGTTGCTTATTAAGTGACTTGCATCATTTACCACTTTCTATCACGTGCTTTACACTTCTTGGAATTGCCCTATCCTTGAAGTTAAGTTAAAGGCAAAACATCCCTATCTAGGCCCACATCACATGAACGTTTATTTTTCTATATCCATCTACTGTTTTTATATATTTTCAATGTTTTCTTGGAATTATACTCCTCTGAACTAAAATAATTGAATGTATATCATTCAAATTAACTCTATAGGACATGATCTATATTAGACTTAGTATGAGTGACGATCTGTTAAGAAATTAATAGAACTTAGTCCTATATTAACCCCAACGACAAGTGCATGAGATCATGTATACAAATCATATAAAGAGAACACAGATTAATACTTCAATTAATGTTTCGCAATAGAATCTAACATGACCCAATTAAAATGTACATGAGATGGCTATTGAAAATGATATAATGTCCAAGAAACACCTAATGATCCTTTTTAGTTTCTTTGTTTCAATTTGTTTGTCTAGTTTTAATTTGGTATGAAATATAAGAAAGTAAAAGAAGATTTTTAAATCTTATATTGTTAAATTAAAGATTTGTCAAATGTACAAAGTGTTTTTTAATCATGTGGTCTTAAACATGTTATGTCATTACTAGAAACAAAGGTTATTTTCCACCACAAATCAATGAATAATTTGAGCTATAAAACATAATATCCACAGCTAATTTCCATCAAACCAGCTCACAAAGAAGAACACGTGATGCGAATTAAACAAATATTCTCATTGAAATACTAAGAATAGTCATCGCACAATTCTTTTCTCATTGACTTAAATCAAAATATTTGTAATGATAATCATTAAATATTTTTCCGTGGAATATTTTAATTGCAATTTTGATGACCATCTCCACCTTATAAATTGGTGTTTAAAATCTTTAACTTAATGATGAAGGACGTACCCATTATTGGATTATCAATTAGGAATGGAACGAAGACGAAAAATAAAGGGTTTTATTAATGGCGGATTTGGTGAGATTTATAAGAGATTCTACTTTATAAAAATACTAAAAAGAAATACATGTGAAGTGGAATTATCCAGTCTTATATATTAGGGAGAAAAATGATGTTATGTACTAACATTGTGCTTAATAACGCTGGCAAAGTTGCGCCGCTATCCAATTGATCCCCACGTGATTAATAGTAATGAAGAGGCAAAAAGAAACACTAATTTAAGGATTTTGGATTGAAAATAAAGAGTATAATAACTAGTCATGAGCATGTTAGAGAAAGAGAAGGTGGTGTGAGGTGGGGACAAAATTTAGTAAGAAGCAAGTTCATCATGAGTTCAGTTTAGTATAGTCCCCAACTTCTCTTTACCTTCCTTTAGCTTGCAGCCTTTGGAACAACTTGTTTTGATGTTTGTTGTCATATATTGTGATTTGCTAAGCCTTTTAGAAGCTTTTCATACAAGGTATAATTGATAGAATAGTATAAATATCGGTCGGATATGAATGTGTGTCTCCATGCAATCTCAGCTCGAGTAAGTAATTAATTGAGATATATTGAAGATGATGGGTTCTTGGGCTATTCTTTTGTTGTTAGTTGCAACTGTGCTGAGCTCAATATGTTTGGTTAATGGGCTTAATGTGGATCATAAGAAAACTAGGGGGAGATTTCCTCAAGTTAATGTCACTACTTCCAATGCAAGGAACACAACTTTTGTGAGTGATGTTATGGTGAATATTGAAAATGCTGGAAAAAATAGGGGCCAGGGAGGTGGAGGTGGCGGAGGAGGAGGAGGTGGAGGTGAAGGTGGTGGAGGAGGCGGGGGAGGTGGTGGTTATGGTGGTGGAGGAGGAGGCGGTGGTGGTGATGGTGGAGGAGGAGGAGGGGGAGCAGGAAAGGGGAGTGGAGGAAATGGAAAAAGTAAAGGGCATGAAGGAAAACATGACAAAGGAAG